ACTCCTCTACCTTCTGTAGTTTCTGCTTTCCATCACGTTTTTCAGCTTGTCCTGATGTTTTGTCTCGTAGTGCCGTCTTAGGTTATATTCCTTAATTACAGCCACATTAGCTCCACAAATAAGACACACGGGTTTACCGGCAAAGTCAGTAAACGTATACTCAGCCTCTCACTGGTTTAGAAAGGCTCTGTTTTCAGAATCAACTTTTCTCTTGGCCATTGTTAGGGGCTAGCTTTGACTTGAAATTAGGGTTGTATATATCAACAGATGCTTGATTGAGCTGACGTAATTGAAGCGGGAATGATCGCAAGTAGCCTATTGTTCGGTAAGGTCTTAATTTTCACAATAAGTGGTTATTGTGGGGATAAAACAAAATAACAAAATATAACCTCAAGGGCCGAGTTACATTACTATTTTGACATCAGGTCGCGGGCCGGAAATAGGGGGTTCGCGGGCCAGGAGTTTGAGACCCCTGCTTTAGGCAATATTATCAGGAAGCACAGCATAAATTTCCATTGCTATGCAGATGATACTCCGTTATGTTTGTCTATGAAGCCAAATGAATCAAATCAGCTGGTCCAACTTCAAGCATGTCTTAGAGACATACTTCATACTTGACTTCACTACATTTCAGAGGACTTGTTTTTTCAGGCCTAGCAGGCACAATTTGCAAAACAAAGTGAGATTTTTCTGTTGGAATCTGTACTGATTTGTTCACAGAAGATTTTCAAATATTCATATGAAGTGGCTTCAACAGTACCAGTAGCAGAATCACCCCTCACAAAAAAACTGTTGCTGGAAGCAACATTGATTACAATGCACCACATGCAGCACACATGCTGTATTTTATGGCACCGGAATATTCTTGCCCAAGTTGCTCCGTGCTTTTCACTAGGTTGACTAGTTTGACAAGACATTGGTAACTTCCTTTTTTGGTTCACAGAGTATCAGCAATATGAGAAAGTGAGTGAACAAAGCCTTTGCCACTCACATTCACCACCCTGCGTGTTAATGAAGTTCACATACATGTACTTTAGTTGCAAACTGATCTTGTTGTGTCTGCTCGGACACAGAGGTGAGTGAGACGAAAAAATGACGGACCCAGGTAGCTGACTTCAGTGCAAGTAGTGCTCAATTTATTTACAGTGATATCAAACAAGCAAGTGTATAACCAGATGGAGGGTGTAGAAGCGGGACCGGGTGTCGAGCAGCTGGTATGGAAAAACACAGTCAGTGGTGCGGTGATTGTGGGAAGACCGGGCTGCAGACGCTGGGGTTCACTCCTGGACTGGTCGGGGATGATGGTTGCTGAGGAGACAGAGTTAGTAGGCCGTTAATAGTAGACTGTGCATCGACCTGCGTGGTGGAGATGGAACGGAGCAGAGGAGGTCTGTGGTCCAGTGGAGCGACTCGAGGAGGAGGAAAAGAAGTTGGAAATAGAGCTCAGGCGAAAGGACGTGAGTAGAAGGTAAACTGTAGCATATACAAACAAACAACGGGAATGTACGGGCCTGAGAATACTAGAAAGATCTGGCAGGGGAGTGGACGGTGCACAGGGTCTAAATAGGGAGAAACTAATCAGGTGCAGCTGGTGGTGATCTGGAGATGTCAAGCAGGTGTGTCAGATGGTGTAATCAGGGTGAGGGAGCTAAAACAGAGTAAGGGCCGTGAGAGAGGCAGGTGTGGCTGGGCAAACCTAACAGATCTGTTCAGCTCAATGAACAGTGCTCTTTAAAGGCATTCATGCACAACAATAGCAGAAACCATAATCTTTAGACACTTTGGGCACTACCTGGCAGCAAACGCACGGCATATGGCATGCGTGGCTCGGCTGTTTTCTAATTTCCTAAATACCATTTTCATGACATGTGCATTATGCTACCTTTTTACCAAGCAGCAGTCAGTCAACTTTGTGCCAGCAGATGTGACCAGATGAAAACAGGGTGTGTCCAAGTAAATTTTGGGAGCATTGGTAATATAAGGACGCACAAAGTGACTGTGCCACTGACCAGCAAAAACCAGGTCTGGGGCCAGCAATCACATCATCATTGCTAGTTAATGGGCGCTCTGATCATGTTATGATGCGTGCCTGTCTAGGTGCATGCACAGTGCTTGTGCACTGTGCTTGCTATACCCTGAGAAATGCTCTGCAGGACATGCAAAAACTAAAAAATATAAAAAATTTGATTGTGTTCATTGGGTGTTGTGCACATCAATATATATGTATTTATAAGAAATACCTTTTTGATTAGTGATCGTATTTATAAGAATTGCTTATGCCCATAGCGAGAAATTAAATTGCTGATTAGTTGACCAGTGCTGCTCTTACACATTGGTACTGTATATAACCAAACTTGTCAGACTGCGAGAGTCCTTGTAAATGATCTGCTCATGCACAAGATGAAGGTGCATGAGCAGATCATTTACAAGGGTGAGCAGGTGCATGAGCAGATCCCTTTCCTCAGTGGAAAATCTTACGCCGGTACATCTTTATCAGATGCCATGGATCCTCAAAATAGGGCCCTTTGTTACAGTCAATTATACAACAATGGAATCAAGATTTAAGGAGAACCAGTATCAGTTTAAGATGGAACCAATGTTGGAACCTAACCAGAGATGTAACAGTAAATAAAAATCAGTGTTTATTCCAATAGAAATTAATGTATAGAACGTACTGTTCAAGGAATTAAAGTTAATATGATAGTCATTTATCTGGTAACTGTATTATATGACATCTCTCTCAGACTGCAAAAAGGACACGCCAGTATTCAAACTTGACCTGAGGAGATCTGCACGGGTAACTAGGAAGCCAGACAGACAAGATCTCTAAAGAAATACTTGAAGTGAAATTTTATTTTAATCCAATGTATTTAATTCAAGATGTAATACGCAATACAGTGCAGTATCAGAGAAGTTGTGTTATCCTATTTTTAATGGTATTGAAGATACTAGTTATTAAAATTTGGACATTTGCATCCACTCCTACACTAGTACATGGAAAAAAAAAGAATTATTTAAAAATGGAAAGGTAGTAACCATGTGTTTCATCATTATTTGTTTTGTTATGATATATATATATTTATGTATTCTTTGTTTGTTTTTGGGGGTGGTGGGTACAGTAGATAGAGACTGTATGGATGAACAAAGTTTATTGTCACACATGGCTCACAACCAACTTGTGCAGACACTGATATTCTGTATTTTGTCAGCACATCCAGTATGCAGACTGAAAACAACAATGAATTTATACCATATACAATTATTCTCTGTATATCCAAAGCAATAAGAAAAAGAAAACTGTCAAATGAACCCAGTATTGTCTTTTAAAATTTGCTGCAACAATCTGAAAAATGTAGTTGTGTAAAAACTACAGTATTTTACTCTGGATTGTAGAAGTAGAAAATCTGACAAAATGAGTTCAGTTTGACCAAATACACTTTATTCCTTGCCACCTCTGTTTATTAAAATAAGTACTGGATTCATACTCAGAGTATTTTTTTCAAATCCACAGACTTCAGTGTTTAATTTTCTCTTTTGTCATAACACAGTTAACAGCAGACTTCACTACTGCTGGCACTAGTGAAGTCGGGGCACCCATTTTTCTCTCTTCTCTTAGTCAAACTGCTTAGATTTCTGAGATGATCTGCACTTCACAGCAGAATGTAACAACAGACCTTTACATACAATGCTGATTTTGGACAGTTTCAGTCCATACAGTACAGGGTTAAAGAGCGGTGGGCATGTCAGAAAGTATAAACATAAAACAATTTGCAACAAACTGGGTACACCTTTCATTTCAAACCTGCTCCCTAATATTTCAAAGCAAACCCCAAAAGAAAAGTTGAGCAGAGAAGCAAGGTGAGGTGAGCAGGTACTGACAGCTTTCTGTCTGGTCCGTGTGGAGCCAGAAAAACACACTTTAAGGATCCTCATGTATGTGTAAAGGATTAAAGTTAAAGGAATGACAACTATGACAGCAGTAAGAACAAGTCCAGAAATGTTGTTTGCTCTGGTGTCAGAGCAGGAATAAGCACGACAACCTTGGTGAAAGTCATGCGTGTGTTATATTGTAGAGGATAACAGATAGCAAGGTATCTGTCATAGGACATTATGGCTAAGATAGAAAATTCTGTGCATACGTATGTGTACACACAAAATATCTGCAGGAAACAACAGGGAACAGAAACAGTGTGAATGTCAGAGAGGATCTGAACCAGGAGGAATGGAAACAACCCTGTACTACCATAGAGGTCATTGACAAACAGGCTGCACAGAAACCTGTACATGGGTTCATGTAAACTTCTGTTCATACAAATAACAACAATAAGCAGCACATTGGTACAGATAATTAAAACATACAATGCCATAATAATCAGGAAATATAAATATTTAAAAATCCCAGTGTCAAAGTAGGCATCAAATGTGAAATATGAAACCTGTGTGGAGTTTATCATGACCTTTGTTTTAGTCTAGTAAATTAATCATAATACTGTTCAGTGTAATGTGTAAGCACAGCAACAACCACAACAATATTCACATAATAAACCAACTGTGCTAATGGTTATTGATTCTATAAATGCTGGAGTTAAGTCAGTTAAAACTAAAAATTTTTCTTACTGTAAAAAAAGTATTATTAAAACCAAACTCATAAAAACATTTACACATACCACTCCCAAATTTACAGTCAACCTGAGGTTTAGGTTAGAAATGACTCAACAGCCTGTGATGTTGTGTGAGTCTTGGCCTTCAGGTTCCGTCCTGCTGTAGACAGACCGACTCCTCACTGAGCTGAAACACTGCTTCTGCTTGTTTTAAACGTTTACAACTGGGGACCACCACAGCAGCAGGCTGAGCTCATCATCGACAGACTCAGGGGCTGTTGCTCTTTACTGACTGATGTCCACAATAACAAAACACCACCTACTGGTTGCAATGAAATGTTGTGGACACGTATGTTTTTATTTTGCCTAGAAGTGTCCACTCAGGCAGCTTCAAGCAACAACCCCAGAAACTGCCCCCTTATCACAGTGGCAACTGAAAAGGTGGTTTTTCAGGGGCAGTTTCTCCATATAGGGTGTTTGATCAAATTGGCCCCAGGTAAGAGGGGGGATGAGGGACAGAGAAGCTGAAAAGAGACCATGTCACCTTGTCCAGCTTGGAGATGTTCAAGTTCAAAGTGTTTATTTTGTCATATACAGTTAGGAAATGTGTTTCCCTGTACAATGAAATTCTTACTTTGCCGTCAACACGAATGCCACAAAATACAAATGAAATATAAAGTAGATAAATAAATAACACAAAATCTGGTGGTAGTGGTGTAGTGGTTAAAAATAGACAAGGTTCCAGAGGTAATATGTAATAGAATAGTGGTTATGGATTTCTGTCACTGTGGTTGGCATGTAGAGAAGTAGTTGCTCTCCATGCATATCTGTCTTAACAGGTCCAACACTACAATTTAATGTTAGAGGAGGGGAGGGTGCGCAGTTTGGAGCGGGCCCATCCGATCTGTCAGTGGTCTGCTCTGTAGCTTGTCCTCTGGTGGATAAAAGAGTGAGCCTGAAGGGGTTGGCAGAAGAAGAGAGGATGGCAATGCTACCGTGAAAAGTGTACTGTAGACCCGGCCCCAGAGGGCCGGGGGGAACAGTGACTGACTCTGGGGTGACAGAAAGACTGACTGACGATACCTTGTGGCTAACAACAACTGCCTGGACTGACTGGCGCTTTTGACAATCTTCTTATTTAATACTTTATCTATCTCACGGGAGGAGGAGTGACTCTGTTCCCTGTTCCCTAACTACCAGATTATCTGTTTAACTACTACTCTATTCAGGAATAATTGTAATATTAAATGATCATTTAAATTGGGATGGTTTGTCTGAATTAATTTAGTCGGCATCACACTCTAGCCACAACAGTGGTTAAAGCAAACTTAATACAATCAGAATAGGATCAGAATATAGTTAATAGTTATTAATATAGTTAATAGTTAATATTAGTAAATGCACAACATGTAGAATGGTCAGGGTGAACTTTCTGCTCCTTTGTACGGGTCTCTGTAAGGACATCGGGCGCCAAACTTCCTGTTGTTTAGCACAATGTGCAGGGGGTTCCCAAAAATAGAGAAGTGTAACCAGGGTGGGGGCCCGGTTGGAGGTCAAGATCTGGACAATCACAGGAAGTTGGGGAATGGCCATATAGTTAGCTGCAGAGTTGATAAGGCATGTGTGTGAAGACCCGAGGGGAAGACTAGAACCGGTGACTGACAGCCTGACTTTCTCTGCAGAGGCCCAGACTGACGCAGGTGATTCTGTTTCTCAATCATAATCACAAAATATTGTTCAATAAATGATAATTGGCACTGCAGTGATTCTCCCTGTGTATTAATTTTTGCGACCACAGACTGGCGTTGTCAGCCTGGTAGGAGCCGTTCAGAGGGGTCCAACACCTGGCAGCGGCTTCCTGGGCGCAGAGCTGGCTTTTCACAAGTGGCCACTGAATAAAGGTGAGTTGCCTTTTTCATATAACTGATGAATTGCGCTCTCTGTGCCTTCGAAATGCTGTGTTGAGTGCCAGTAGGTTTATTTAAAACCTAAACTTATCTCCTGATTGGTTCTCCTTCAAGTATCTGCGTGCATTGAGAAAAAAAAAGAGGGAGATAAAAAGGAAAGAGGGCTGGAGATAGAATCGCCAGGACTGACTTTGACATTGTATATATATATATGACTTATTAACACTTACTAGTTGATTGTGTTAGTTATGGTTGTTGTTTTATGAGTGAGAGAAAATTTATGAGATGTCAGACCAGATTGAGGAAGCTAAATTATGAAATTATGAGCCATAAATATAAGAGTGTCTGGATTGGATTTAAATAAAAAGTAATTGTGTGATATGGCTGTTAAGCAAGATTTGTACTGCGAATGGGTCTACAGGTGATTGAGGCACAAAGGGCAGTCACACAATTGAAGAAGCTGAATCACAGATGTTAAGTTGACTGGTGAAATTATAACGGTAGTTTCTGTAGTAAGCAGATGACTTGCATCCCCCGCAGTCCCGATTGGAGAGGACAAATTGAATTAGTTTAACTGTGAGGGGGGTATGAAGCTGGGTTTGGTCAAGGTCTGATCAGTTTTGAGGTTAACCTGGCAGGGTTCATACGGTTCCTGTTGGCCAACTATAGTGAAAGCCCACTTACAAGTGCTTGTAGAGTTTTAAATAAAAGTGTGTGTGTTTGAATACAGGCCTGTGTGTGTGTGTGTTGAGACAAACTCATCTAGTGTTGAGAGAAGTGTGTGTGTGTGTGTGTGTAGGGTCAGATGTGAGAGTGCTCTCTGGTTGTGTATATGTGTTGCAAATTGCTCCATGTTTTCTGAAATGTGAAGAAGTTTGCTTAAGAAATGTATATTGTGTTATATTGAAGGTTTATACAAGCTCTTGAAAACATACTGCAATACAGGCCTGTGTGTGTGTGTGTTGAGACAAACTCATCTAGTGTTGAGAGAAGTGTGTGTGTGTGTGTGTAGGGTCAGATGTGAGAGTGCTCTCTGGTTGTGTATATGTGTTGCAAATTGCTCCATGTTTTCTGAAATGTGAAGAAGTTTGCTTAAGAAATGTATATTGTGTTATATTGAAGGTTTATACAAGCTAAAGATACACTGAAAACATAATGTATATACATTGTGTTAAACTGTGCAGTTTTGCTTTTGGGTGTGGTTTGCTCTGTGTGTGTGTATGTGTGCATGTAGCTCACTCTTCACATGGGTGTTCACTGTGTGTGCGTGAATGCGAGTATGTAGAGAGGCGTGTGTGTTTTTTGGGTGTGGTAAAGGAGTCTGGTGTATTGATAACTGTATATTATTATATTCCTGTTGTTTTCATTATTATGTTTCAGTTGTTATTATCATAAGTTCAGTGTTTGTGTAGTTTATATTTTATAAGATTTGTGTTTAGAGGTTGATAATCTTATGATTCTTTTTGCTGGTGACGTCATGGTCTGGGGTGAGTGAGTTGCAGTGTGACGGCTGGCTTGTGCATGAAGATTGATTATTGATTATTGGTAAGTGCAGTTGGGGTGATAAACTCATAAGTGGTAAAATCTTCTCTGTCACTGTGGTTGGCATGTAGAGAAGTAGTTGCTCTCCATGCATATCTGTCTTAACAGGTCCAACACTACAATTTAATGTTAGAGGAGGGGAGGGTGCGCAGTTTGGAGCGGGCCCATCTGATCTGTCAGCGGTCCGCTCTGTAGCTTGTCCTCTGGTATACTGGAAGTGGTGGCCTGCTCTGGGCTGTGGCTCCACCTCCCCCCGCCCTTCAGCAGTTTCTGTCAGAGCTGCATGTGTGACGTGCAGAGGAGCACAGACAGGGGAGAGCAGCTCAAATAAGATTGAAAGGGGGAAGTGAGTTAAAGCAGCTGATGGATAAAATAAAAGTCTATTTTCTCTATTTTTGCTAATTGGCATGTTGTATTTGTTCCTTTAAATTTATATGCACATTTATATTTACAATATATGCACATTTATGTTCATTATGGTTTAAACTACAGGGAGGATTAAAAAAGCTAGAACAGCAGCTCTAACATAGCAGAGTTGCTTTAAGTACTTAAATTTGTTTTTGGTTGCAGCTGTTTAGTTGTATTTTCATATTTATCTATTTATTAAATTTTCATATCCCATTAAGTTTTTCATATCATTTGAATTTTGGGGTGTTGTCATTCATTCCACAGTGTATTGCAGTGGTATATAAATACATAGACATTTTGCTACAGACATATAACATAACTCAGCAGGGCCATGGAGTCTGGAAAACTGAAGAACACATCTCCAGTGATGGTTGTAGGTAAGCAAAACCCCTTGTTGGCCGAGGAAATTGACAACTTATCACGAACGTGGAACAGCAGAACGCGAAATCTCCAGTCACCCTGGCCACAAGATGGAACATTTGATCTCAATCAATGTCGTGAAATGGAAGTGGTTATAAAAAAACCATAAGGCCAAAGATAAGTCTGCAAAGCGTGTGCGTAAGCGCGAAAGGGAACTCGCTGTCATCCAGTTGTTTATCAATCATGCAAAACTGCTGCGAGAGAAGATGGTTAAATATGTCAAAGAACAGCTTGAACAGAAAAAGAAGCTGGTCTGGGGAACAGATCAGCCACCACCGTATGCTGCCCAAATGCCTGTGCGACAGCTAAGACTCAGAGGTGACTATGTGATGAAATCTGAGAAGAAATCAATTTAGCCAGTAGAAGAGCTGGAGCAGGCGGCCAGCTTTGGACAGCAGGAGAAGGGGGAGCTGCCAGATGAACTGGAGGATCTGCCAGAGGCTTATTGGCGAGGGCTGAGTCTTCCACAGGGAGAGGCCCGCAAACGTTTAAGTGGTTTGCATGAACAAATTGTGAAAATATTGACAGATGCTGAAAAAGAGGAGGGCAAGCAGTGTGGTGAGATGGGCGACGGGGCAAAGGCCAGAGAAGAAGAGGCCTTTGACCTCTTTGATTCAAGAGAATACTCCCTCAACCCTCCGATTGTGGCCAGTAAGGTGTCTACTCCTAGAAGAAATGAGGAAGAGGAAGAAGAGAGATATGATCATGGAGGAGCTAAACCAAAGCCTCCTCATGTTACAATTAGGAAAAAAGGAGTTCAGTCATCACCTCAAGCTCGCAGAGGGGATCATTCCTCATCAGAAAGAGAATGTGGAAGCGTGGATGCAGTAATCACATTTAACACCAGTGGAGAATCAGGACATCCAACTGGAGCTGCAGATGCTTCATCATACCCACTGTTGGCCAAAGGGGCTCAGCTACAGTATGTGCCCTGGCCTACAATGGATTTAGAGGGCTTGGTGCAGCGCCTCCATTGTCTCCAAGATGGGGCTGGAAAGTGGATAGCTGCGTTTGAGGAAGAAACTATTGCCACAATTCTGGCAATGGGAGACATCAAGGCTCTCTTGGGAAAAATCCTGGG